GACCGTGGCTGGGGAGTCGCTTTTGGGGGCCCCGCCGCAGGTCCACATACCAGCGGGGGGGAAGCCGGCCCTGGAGCCCTTCTGCGAGTTGGAGCAGCAGCAGCCACCAGCGCTTGCCGGGCCCCTGCTGCAGTTCAAGCGGCGGCTGGAGGGAAAGCCCCTGGAGTTTTTCTTCCACGTGTTCAAGAGCAAACACCGAGCTGGGGAGTCCCTTTCGGGCCCTTCACATGGCAGCCGAGGGGGTGGGACCGGCCCCGGAGTTTTTCTTCCACATGTTCAAGCACTAACACTGACCTGCCTATAGCTGGAGAGTCTCTGTTGGGCCCTGCTGCACGTGCAAATGGGAGCTGTGGGCAAAACCCCAGCAGTGTTTCTTCCACAGACTCAGGCACTAGTAGTGCTCAGTTGTACTAGTCTGGACTAGTCGTCTGTAGCTGGAGAGTCCTTCCTTGGGCCCTTGCTGCACGTTCAAATGGCAGCAGGAGGGAAACCGGCCCTGCAGTTGTTCTGCGCGTTCAAGCACTAACAGCAACCAGTCCTTGTTGGGCCCCTGCTGCACATTCAAATGGCAGCTGGAGGAAAAAACCCTGGAGTTTTTCTTCCACACGTTCAAGCACTAATAGCGTGGCCCATCTCTAACTAGAGAGACCATTTGCACATTCAAATGGGAGCTGGGGGGGAAACCAGCCCTGGAGTCGTCGTTCCACTTGTTCAAGCACTAACAGTGACGAGTCCTTGTTAGAGAGCCCTTTTTTGGGTCCCTGCTGCACATTCAAATAGCAGCTGGAGGAAAACCAGCCTTGCAGTTGCTGTTCCACATGTTCAGGCACTAACTTTGTAGCTGGTTGGCTGGTCTTGCAACTCCACGGTCATTTTTTGGGCGTGATCCTTGCTTTGCCTGGGCAGCCAGCGGAAATGTCTGGAGGGATTCATCAGTTAATGGCATCAGAGCTGCAAGGTGGAGCAGGGGCCTCATGGTGCGATGGTTACTGTGTGGCGGGCTGCTCTGAAGGTATGGTGCAATTCGTCAGTTCACAGCGGGAGCAGTGCTTGAACGCATGAAAGGCCAGACATGCAAAGTGACAAACTGGCCGATCTCAATTAACTCCAAGATGAACCTGTGAAACGTGTAACAGGGCCTTAAACGCAGTCGCTGGGGCAGGGATCCTGCCCAACCTGCTGGGCCGGTGCGTGGCCTCTCCAGGTGGGGCCGGTCCCAAATCCTTCCCCCGTTGTCATTCTTCCTCCCAGCTGGAACCCGTGTCTGTTGGCGGTTAACCTCCTCGCCAAGGCTTTCTAGCCTAGTCACTTGCTTGATTACAGCCCAGCTGGAGGGGCAAACTCTGACCTCTGTAGTACTGCTAACCCTAATAGTAGCCCTCTGGGAAGCACTCTAGTAGATGACTTGATCAAAACCTTTGGTCTCATAATACATGCAGGGGTTTTATCGTACTGTGGATGGGTAAAGGAAGGCACATTGTAGGTCTACATGGAGTCAGAAGCAAGGCAGTGTTTCATGCCGACATACCCAAGCAAGCTTCGCACTAGCTAGCCCGGGTGCTGCAGCAGCCAGGAATCCAGCGCAGGGTACAAAGCCCTCTGCAGAAGCAAGGGAAGATCTCGGCGTGCCGCCACCGCTGCTCCGTGCAGGATGCGAGTTGCCGAGAGCACAGCTAGCTGGAGCATACCTACCCCAGACACCCTTGCCACGTGGGCATTGCCAAGGAGCGATAACTGGCCGCCCAAAGCCACAGCAGGAGTCAGTAGCATGGCCAAAAATAAAAGTCGGGTCTTCCAGTCACGTATGTAGTTATTTGCCTGAAAGTAGGACCTGCGACGGGTGAGGGCTCCATCGTGCTGGAAACAGACTCACGGAGACAGTAGGTGACTGCCCAACGTCACACAGGGAGCAGTGACCGAGACAGGTGCCGGGTCCGTAACCACCCTGCCAACCCTAGGCCAGTGCCGTAACCATCCCACCAGTCCTCCCCTTATGACAGAAAAAGCATAATCCCCCAATAACATCCCATTCCTTTTATTGCAAATGTGATCAAACATATTTACCTGCTCTTCCGGGGCGTCATGAGGATTCTGCATGGCCCAAAGATGCCAAGACCTGTTGGATGACTAATTACCACTGCACCAGTCTGCACTTTCAGTGCCACGTGTTAACCCAGACTCTTGAATTGTGTCCTAAGCACAGCCAGTTTCTGCTGCCTAACTGTAAGCCATAACTGGCAGAGGTGAGAAGGTGAGTGGCAGAGCCAAAGAGGCAAAGGGATATTCTCTCTCTGAGATCTGAAATGAATGAGAGTCCACGAAGCAGAAGGTCTGAAGAGAGGAACTGCAGAAAAGCTTCATGCTGACAACAGCAAATACACGCATCGGGCTGGCGTAGAAGTCAGGGGAAAGGGCAGGAAACGGACGTGGATTTCACTCATTAACACAGCCTCACATTATACTTGCTAAGGCACAGATGCTGGTGCCCAAAAACCAGCTGGGCCCGTAAGCAGGAGACTGAATTGCAGCAATAACACAGTTCAATCCAAACTGCTGAAGTCTTTCTAAGCAGGCAGATTTCTGCCCCATGCAGGGTGCCAGGGCACACAAGCACATGCAGCTAAAGTAATGCAGAAGTTGGGTCAAACTTTGAAAGGGAAATTAGCTCTTGGACTTCAAGTTTCAAAAGGACATTTAAGATCAAAGGATGAGATGGCTCTCCAGCAAGTGCAGATCAGCCTCGCTCCTTGTACTAGCAGAGAAGCTGGCCTTATGTATTCCAAACCTAGTCTCTTTTGAATTTTTTAGAATCACCCTGGTCCCAAACGGACTCCCTTAGCACCCCCAACTTGCATTTCCTTTGGGTCCAGGAATCCAAGCTACTAGACACATCAGGCCCAGGAGATATAAAGAGGTCCAAGTCCCCCCTATCCTTTAATGCACCTTTCTCTTAGGCATCAAAATGATTCTCTTACATGGGTTCTGAGTGATTGCAAGTGGGCTGAAATGAATCAGTGCAACGGAGTCCAAATCAGTGAAAAGCCTTGCATCAAGTCATCACGTCTCATTTGGCACGCTGCCCTCAATGGGGCTACTCCAGTAGGAAACAATACAGTTGGCAATGTTTCCAGGATCGGTGCCTAGAAGAACTTGCTCAGTCCCTTGATCTCTCTCCCGTATGTTTCTTTGGGGTAAGTCCCAGAGTGTTTAATAACATCTTTGGTCCTCCTCTTCCTTCCATCTCTGTCTCCACATTGTTTTAAGCCTCTACCACTGCTCAGCTGAGTTTTTGGGGCTGCAGTATAGTTCCTTCAAGACAAGTGAGTTAGTAATTATGAATTCACGTAGCCCCTAGAAACCCATTTCTTAGTTAGATGTGGCTGAAACAAAGCTAACAACTATTTTGTAACGGCAGCAACCGTGGCCAATAAATCCTGCTTATAGACCTGCGCTTCTCTGGTCTTGCCTTTATGGCACTTGAATTGCACAGACTGGAGCAGGTTGCAGGTGTTTCTCATGCTTCAGTTGCTGCTGCAGGTCACAGCATGCAGTGTCCCATCAAGGCCAAAAAAGCTTCAGGTGTCATCTCATCAGCCTTAGGGGAATGAAACAAGCCAGTAATGAAGCCCGCTGAGAGGGCAGCCATTTCAGATGAGATTTGCTTTTAGTCTGGGGGTTTCTTCAGGCCTGAAAAGAGAAACCTGTGGTTGTAGACTTCAGAGTGTCACCTGCTTCAGGGTGTGGGCTCACCTAGCCATCGCTTGTCCAGGACGACTGAATAACTCCGTGAGCGGTTACCACTGGGAAGGCAGAGCAGCATCCCAAAGCACTCAGGTTGATCCTACTCCCCCTATTTCATTTGTATTTTTTGTTTTAAACATACAAGTGCCCCACGTCACTCCAGGGATCAGCACCGCAGAATAAGCGTAGTCTTGTCTAGGAGAAGCTAGCGGTTCGTTGTCTGGATGAAGGGCTACAGTGTGCTGCTCGCTACCAGTGGCTGTGAATGAACACCCAGCTTTTCCTGCAAGCGGAGGGATGGGGAACCAAAGTCCACCTCCACACTCCACATTCCCACCTGTCTGCCGTTCCCATCACGTCCAGTCCTTGGCCCTCGCGCCACGGGAGCCAGCCTGCCAGTCACCTGGATGCAATTCCCCGTGGCGGCGCAGTGCCTCGTTCTGTTGTGATGGCTTGTACGGCGGGTGCAGCCAGTTTGGGTTCTTTGATCTCCCTCACTCCGCTCATGTGTCGAGCACCGTGTTACTCATTCATTTCCTGTCATCTGACTCCTGGACCTGCCAGCAGGTTGGTTACAGGGGGGCCAAGCATCCCTGCTAAACCTGAGCAAACCTCCAGCCAAAAAATGAGGAGCCAGGCCATAGGCGCTGACTCTGAGCACAGCCAGGGAAGATCAGATGCTGATACAACCGTCGGATGCCAGAAGCCTCCCGAGGGCTCCACTTCTCCCAGCCTGGGCACATAACTGGGCGCTGCTCATCAGCTCACCCACCTTTTGCTGCCATGGCTCTTTTGTGCAGGGTGAACCCCAGCGGGGCTGCCCGCACATGGGCAGGAGGGGCAGAGGGGGAAGGACAAGGGGAAGACCTTGTCTTACACAGACACCTCTCATAGTTTCATAGTTTGTAGGGTTGAAAGGGACCTGAGCAGACCATCAAGTCCTACCCCCTGCCTTGGCAGGAAAAAGTACTGGGGTCAAACGACCCCGGAAGGGCCTGCCCGAGAGTTTCCTCTCTGAGCAGGCTTCTCCTGGCATGGCCTTCCAGATCCTACTACTGTTTGATTTACAAATCAGAGGCTTAAAAGCAAGGACAGAGTCCGTATGGGCCTCCCACACCTTTGCCCATGGGATGTGGACGTACGCGTATCCATATGTCCTGCTTTGCTAGCAGTGCAGCCCATATCTGTGACCAAGGGCTGAAGGCTCCTTAGCTAGAAGAACGTGGGGGCTTGAAATCCTCCCGCCCACGGGTCCTTTCCTACCCTTCCCAGTCCCATCAGGAGCGGGACGTGACAACGGTGACGACTGTATGGTGGAAAGGGCTTTGCTGGTTTGGGCGCCGCCGGAGGCCTCTCCTTGCACCAGCGCGGCAGGGTGGGGTGGGACCCTCCTGCACATAGATAACGGCTTTGTTGTTGTGGCTGCTATTTCTTCCCACTCGGTTTGTCGCCTTCCACCAAAAAGCAGAGATGGCTTTTAACCCTTCAGGACCCAGACCAAGGCTTCCTCGTGAGTGACCCCCCACAGCCCTGGCCATCTCCACGTGCTGCAGTGACTGACCTCGAGGGACTCTCTGCCCTGCTTGGCTCTGCCCCATGATACTGGGCCTGGTTGTCCTCAGGAGTCGGTGCCGAAGCCGTGATCCCGCTGGGGTTGCTCTCCTGAACAGTTCATCGTTGACTCCTCACATACCTGCCATTGGGTCAGATGCCATCATTTGAGCTCATTTGTGTCCTGGCCTTGAAGACTGAGCCACACCTGTGCCTCAGAGCCTGTGAGCCCCCGGGACGGGCATTTCTCCTCACCTGTGCATCCACAGATTGGGACCACAAAGCCAAACCCGGGCTGAGGCCTTCAGGCAGCACCACACTATAAATCATTAACAATAATAATTGCACTTCTTCCCAACGGAGAACACCAAGGCTTCACCTTCGCACCGCTACAGCCAGGCAGCAAAGAAAAAGGCAGGGCACATACAGTGCCCTACACAGCCGTGCAGACCTGCGAGCAAGGCTGAGAACGGGCCTCTCATGACGAGCAGCTGGGTCTCACGTCACTGGATCTGTCATCGTTAAGCCTGATTTGCTTAAACAGCTGGATTAGTCAAACCCATGCTCTTGGACTCTGTCAGGCTGTGCTGGCAAGGACTGCGCTGAGCGCCACGCTTGCAGCTGGCCTCGACCCCCCGGGGCCCTGCTTGCATGTGGTTCCCTGGTCACTACGTTGTATGGACCAGAGCAGCAGGTGTGGGGGGGGGGCTCTGTTAGGACTCTCCCCCCCTCATTAGTCCAGCTCTGAAGGAGTTAATAAAAGAACGATGCACCATTGGTTGGCAAAGCAACGCCTCTCTCTTCCCCCCCCCTTAAATTATTATCGAAATAACAAGTCTGGGCTGTTATCAGCTGGGCCCTGGGTGTCAGCTTTCAGGCTGCCTTTTCTTTCCAATTGTGTTTAATCTTTAACACAAAAATGCTGAGCTGGCTCTTTTAATCAATTTAAATATTATGCAATCGCAGCTAATGTAGTTTGCAGTCGTTTCACAAGAGCCTCGTAGAGCCGTGGCACAGACGCCCGGCCCGCCTCGTCCGCTGGGGTCAAGGGGTCTTGGCTGCGGCCAAGGTCTGCTGGGTGCTACCGCGCCCCTCTAGGCGGGCTCCTGGATGGTACTCTGACCCGGCGAGAGATCCCCGGCTGGGACCTGCTTCTCCGGGAGAGGATGGCCATGCATGTGCCTCCCCCTTCATCCAGGGTCATCGCTGAGATGGGGCAAGCGTAACTGGGACCTCTTTCCCCGCTGACCCCTGTTGCGCATCCTGCCTCTGCATGCCTTGGCCCTGCACCTGGCCTAGGTGCGGTCCGCTCCCCAAAGGGCAGAGGCCCGTCTCCCTTGTCTTGCAAGCCGAATCGGGACGTGCGCCCTGAGAACGGCCTCCCTCCACTGGGTCTCAGCACAGAGACAAGCCCATCTGAAAACCAAAGCAGGGTGCCCAGCACCGCCCCGCTGCACCCCAGCCTTGGCCACTGCACTGTCCCGCAGCCGTCTGCTCCCGCTCTCCTGCCCTGGAGCTCTGGCCCCCGGGTGCCCTGCGCCAGGAGCTGCATGGGCTGCTCCGCAAGCCACCGAACTCCCCCTGGTGGAAAGCACGGGGCCGGCTCCAGGCAGGACCCAAGCCGGGGCCAGGCCTGCAGCAGAGACCGGGGAACCCGTGGCATCGTGGACCGGGCCCCACAGTGCAGCCCAGGGAGCCCGGAGGGCCTGGATTGTAAGGGGAAGCGTCCTGGGGCAGACAGCGGGCACTGTCCAGAGCAGCTCCGGAAGGAGTGGGGTTTGTGCGGTGCTGCAGTAGGAGGCAGGGAGGTGCATCTCTCCAGCCCCTGCCGGTGAACCAGGCTCCCACAAAGCTGGGACTGCCTAAGCTACTGTGGGGTTGCTTTAAGTCTTTCCCTGCTTTGTGCCTTTTCGAGGCTTTCTATCACCCCCCCGAGCTGTCCTCTGCAGCCACCCGGGCCAGGAACTTGCTCTGAAGCGGCAGTCTGGATAACAGGTCTCCAGCAGTGAGGCCTCAGCAGCAAACACCCAACACCACGAGACCCGCAGTGAGACCGCGGGGGAGGACAGTGCCGCAGCCCACACCTCCCTTTCAGGATGCGGCTCAGAGGGGGCTTGGGAGACGTCTCGTCACGACGACACTGCTCAAAGCAGCGCAGTGCGCGATGCAGAACTGCTGTCAGCCCTGGTGGGAGTGAGGCAGCACCGTCGAGATCGTCCCTCTTCTTCTCGGACGTGGCGGAGAGCGGAGCCGCTGTCCAGACACTGACACTTCGGCCTGGGCTGGCGCCTGGCCCTTCCAGCCTTTGCATGTGTGCAGCACCGATGGGTTGACAAAGCAACCCTCTTCTCTCTCTTCCAAGAACATGAACAGCTCGGGGCGAGACCCGTGCCTGTCTGAAACTGGGCCGCTGCTCCTTTTCACCCAGGCCAGTCTCCGGTGAAGCCCAGCTTGCATTCTGCTGTCCGTCCGGACTGGCTTCTGGGCTGTCAGGCCAGGAAGAAAAAATCTGACATGGGGAATAAGCCTGAGGTCCAGGACAGCAGGACCACAATGGTGCCAAGGGCCCTGCTTTTTGTCCCAGATGGAAGCCCAACAGGGCGGTTGGGGGCCTGCGAGGTCTCTGCTCAGATGCCACTGGTTTCTGATCGGCTGCCCCATGCAGAGACATTTCCAGCACGATGATCGGCTGGAACAGGCATGTCAGGAAAAGTCACAAGACCGGCGCTGAGGGGAAGGTTGTTGCCCCTCCCCGCCCCTGCCCCTGTGCACACAGGCACCGTTATTCTTCAGATCCTCCTTCCCCTTCTGACCATCTGTGCATGAAGCCACATGACAGAGATTAGACTCTCCTCTTCTCCCTGCTTTGCGCCTTATCGCACAGAGAAGAGAGGGGCAAATGACTCCCTGATGCTGAAAGCAAGAATCGGTGATTTCGGCTTTCCAAAATCCCAGCGGCTTTGCTGCAGCGATGGGGTTTTCCTCCAGCCCTCGTGAGCGCTGGTTCTGGTAACTGGCTTGGGATGCTGTTTTCCGGTAGAAGATCCTGCTTCAGCAGGGCTAGAAGGACCCCAGGCTGCACTAGGCAGTGCCGTCATCCCAGTGCGTTGTGGGAGCCGGGGGTCCGGCAGGGCTTCACTGAGGCAGCCACACCAGCCCCTTTGCAGTGTGCAGCCTCCACGTTGCTTTATTCCCCTGAAATCAAAGTACAGCTCCTTCTCGCCCACCCCCAGAGTGCAGGGCCTGGGGCTGCAGGCCCACAGGGAGCTGGGATGGAGGCTTTGCTCCCATATGGCCCCCGCTGCGACCTTGTGCCCCATTCATTTCTTCTAGTGGTCTGCTTCTACAGGTCCTGTGTTCAGGCGCTGAGGGCCCCTCGCTGCATGGGAAGCCACGGAGAAATGCTCAGCCCCGCAGTGTCCCGTCGCCCGCTCTGCAGCTCCTGTGCTCGGGCACTCGCTGCTCAAGGCACGTTTCATACTCCAGACCGTGCTGCCTTTCCACAGGCCCCTTAGCAGCAGGTGGGCTTGAGCAAGGTCATTCAAGCAGTTTCCAAGCCCACCTGGATACCACCATGGTCCACAGGGCGCCGGACCGCCCTGTCCCCGGCAAACTCCATGCATGACAAATGACACGTGTGTATCTGGAGGGGCTCCAGATGGAGACCTCGGCTCCTTTTGTCCATTTTGCCAACAGCAGATGGGACCCGAGTCCTGCTTTCCATAGCCCCCGAGTGTTTCTTTATGGACTTAACATCTCTGGGCATCTGATCAACTCCAACCAGCTTCCTAAGGGTCTCGAAGCCAGGCCCCACTCACTTCTACAGACAACACCATCCCGTCATGGCCGGCCACTCACTCACGAGGAGAAAAAAGCATTTTAGAGCAACATCAGAGCTGAGCTTTGACACGTGTGAAAGCCAAAATGTTCAAGGCTGCAGGTTCCCAACCGCTGGAACTCAACCCTAAATGCAGCATTTCTGTAGCAGCCCTGGGCCCCCAGGTATGGCCTGGACACGGGGAGCTTTGGCTGAAAGTATGGGCCACCTTTGCCATCCAATCAACCAGCTCAATACAGAGCCAGAGCCTCAGCTGGCCAAGCTGACATTGCTCCCAGGAGGTCACCGAACGACGTCTGCACAGAGCCGTGGTGTCCACACCAGCACAACAGCTGCCCGTGATGTTGGCTCCACTCGGTAGCTTCAAGCACATGGCTTGGTCCCAGTGTTATCCTTCATTTGGATGGCAATAGGGGCGCACGGTCCCACTCAAAATCCAGGCTCCCCTAGGTGTGTCAATGAAAGAGAGGTCTCTGCCCCAAAGAGTTTCCAACCTAAAAGATGAGAGGGACAAAGAATGGGAGAAGGGGTGCATAGGGCATTGCGGGACAGGGAAGTCACCCTACTCCTTCCAACAGAAGATGTCTCTGAGTTTAAAATGCACCCCCATTTTGTGACTGTCAGTTAAAAGAGGAAAGAAAGCATCCAATAAAGACACACGTACAAGGATGCAGCTGCTCCATGCTGCACATCCGAGCTTTTTAAACTCTATTTTTGGCACACGGGCCATTTTTAGAAGAAATATTTCACATCTGAACAAGCACATCTTACATGGGAAGGAATCGGGTAATTCCTTTGCCCCAGGTTGTACCACGACTCGGTGACAGAGCCAGGAGCCCGGCTCGTTTCTCCCAAGCCCCAGCTGAGCGCCGTAGCCACACGCTGTCGAGCTCGGGGCATTAGCAGGCAGAGCGTGCTAACAGCACAATTACCTGCCTGTTCTCTGCGGCCGCTATCTGGGCACTGTTTCTGGCAGGGGGTGGGACTAGATGTCTGGTAAAGTGTTCGTATCTCTAGCTTGTGTGGTTTGGCATCCTGCATTCGCTCAACAAAAAGGCACGTGAAAAAGAGAGCGTGAACGCTGCAGGCTCGGGGACATTTTAGGTTTAACATGCTGAATGCGTGGCTTTTATTTGGGGTCGGGGGTGGTTTGTTTCTGTCATTCTTTGAGCCTGATTCGGCAGAGGGCCAGATCCAGAGAAACAGGACAGGTGATTTCTTTGCTGGTGAATGGAGGGATGTGCCGGGGTGGTGATGGGAGTCAGCATCGGGCGAGCTCATCTTCTGCTCAGTTTCTGTACCGCTTTTCAAGCCCTGGTGTTAATGCAGCGGTTGGTGATTATGCATTGTTTGGGGCCACGTGCTCTCCGCCTGCTTCACCCCATGCTGCCTTTTCTGTTTCAGTCCGAGGTGTTGGTAGAAGTCGTAAAGGTCACGGCTGTTTTGGTGGTTGCACAGACCCACCACTCTAGGCTTGGGTAATCGGTCATTGCCCTTCATGGAAAGAAGTGTAGGATGAGCTGACAATATGTGGATCCATCCCCGTGACAATGTGCCCCAGAGGATACATTCAGCTGCATTCCCAAATTCTCCTCATTTGTATAGTCCCCAGAAGACTATTTTACAAGATGCATTAACACACTCGCTGCTCTGCCACATGCGTTTCGTCTTCCCCAGGAAGTGCCTGCTCCGATTGGAAATGAGAATAGCAAACCTGCACACCCCAAACTGCGTACAAACGTGTAAGCCTCCAGCTTCGACGGCACACAGACTGCGCCTGCAATAGGGAAATACGTATGCCCAGTGCAAACCAGGGGGAGCAGCCTGAGCGTCCAGGCCGTGGCACCTTCAGGACTTACCAGCAGTGGGAAGAAAGGTAATGGCTTGCCAGCTTTGCTCTTTCACGCACGGAGAAGTGTGCCCAGCTCACAGACCATCTCCCTCCAGGAAGGATCAGGAAATGCCCCTTACCTGGGAGGTGGTACGGAGAGACAGCAAAATGTCCTCAATGAAAGGGCAAAGCAGGTTGCCCCTGGTGAGAAATGCAGAGCTTTACCTGTATTCATATATAAAAACGTCATGGGCAAAATCCTGAGCTGCCCCGTGTTCGCGGACAGGCCCCAGGGACAGTGGGGCTGGTGTGATTGTGCTCGGTGGAGGAGGAGGGAGGATTATAAGTGGGGTTTGCCTCTCTGGCAGCAGCTCACAGCACACCAAGGGACTCTGACAGCCAGCGAACGCAGGGGAAGGCGGGAGATGATCAGACCGGTGGAACCAGAAACGGGTAGATCCTGTCATCGTTCCTCCCCGCAGACGGAGAAAACAACAGCCCCAAGGCTTTGGGAGACGGCACAGATCCCCTCGCAGCGCGTGGCCTGGTTCCTCCGGCTCCGCTCTGCATTCAGGGCTTGCTTCAGGGGGAAATCTATCCCACATCAGGGCTCCAGGCCACCGCAGCGGCATGGCTTTGGGAACACAAACAGGCTACCACATTTCAGATCCCGCTGTCATGTTTATTGGACCTGCAGCATCCCCATAGGCAGCTGCCGGTGTTACAAAGTCAAGGGGTAAGTAAAAGAGGACACAGGTCAGCATGTTAGGGGAAAGTTTACAAGGAACTTTCTCCTGTATAAAAAAAATCTCTCAGGCTTGAACAATATGACGGTGGCGCTTCTCAGATAGGAAATCTGCCAAGGGCTGAGGGCTTCCTGCATCTCTTGCAACCATCCCCCGCCCCAGCCGTCCGGAGCTTGCAAACAGGCTTAGAAGACGTTGTTGCCTGCAAGGGACCAACTTGATGACCTAGGAGGTCTCTTGCCTTGCTCAAGGTGCCTGGCACTGGAGGCCAGGAACATCCTTCCCGTTTTGCACGAGAAAGCACTGAACTGTGATGTTTCCTTAATCACTCAATGGTCAAGCTAGAAATCAGCTCTGGCCCCTGTGTCCCCGTGCAGGGCTTTATCACTCAGGAAACTCAGGGTGAGCTCCCAGAGGGACAGAAGTCTGCAGGAGGCTGTAGCCAAGTGAATTCCCTTGCAATGCCTTCCCCCATGCCCTGGGACCTGCAGTGAGCTGGCCCCACCTCCCTCGGGAGGTCCCCTGCCCTAGTGTGACAATCTCTGTGCACTGCACCCCTTTTGGCTCTGGCTATCCCCTGCACTCTCCAGTGTGACACAGAGACCCGGCAAACCTTGGCTTCACCGTGCAATTAGCACCACAAATTGTGATCTCTCTGGGCAGCCCATAATCAGAGGTGGGTGGCCTGGACAGGGGGCCGTCACGTCTCACAAGAAACAGACAGACGCCTGTATCACGTGAACGCACGTTCTCAGGTAATCCAGACTGCTCTGCTTCTGGGTATCTCAGTTATGGCAGTGTGAGCCTGCCGGCTATAACAGACAGAACAATAAGCTTACAAGGGTGGAGTACAATGTAGAAGGAAGCGTCCTTAGGAACTCAGCTGCCCCTTTCCTAGACTAGGTTTCTACACTCTTCTTCTCCAGACCCTGCTTCAAGTCACAGGCAGGGCAGGTGCCTGAGCTGGGGGTCCACGTCCCTCTAAAATGGACACAAACCCCAAGAAGCATCAACCCAAACACTCCCATCCAGACCAGTCTCCTGCCCCCAGAAGGGGCCAGCACCAGCTGCTTCAGAGGAAGCTGAGAGCAGTCATGGGATAGTCTCTCTCCAGGAAAGTCAGAGATGGGTGCATGCCCTAAAGCACCAAAGGGATTACAGCTTGCAGAACAAGGCTGGACTTCCCTGTGGTACCTTGCTGGATGGCTGAACTGCAGGGCAGCTGGAGGTCTCTATGGCAGTGCAGAGGGGCTGCCCTGGGGCTGCCAGGAAGGGGGCAGCTGTGTGAGAGGGGCTATAAGTCCGTGATGAAGACCTCCAACCCATTGTGGACCTTTGTGGTAGTTGTTCTCCTCGCCTCCCCCTCCCACAGGTCACTGACACTTTCATAGAAGTTCTCGCTGGGGCAGCTCCTGGGAGACCTGCTCTTTCTCTCCGACTTCTTCCACTTGGCATCAACCTCTGCATAGTCTGGATCCGGGGCTGAGCTGCTCCCACGCTTGGCCCAGGGGCGCTCATCGACAGACTCGTAGCAGGGCTCGATGAGCAAGGGGCAAGCCAGGGTGGATGGGTACCCTGCCCTGACGCCCTCTTCCTGGCATGCCGCTGGCCAGCTGTGGTCTCCGGGACCCACGTCCGCAGCAGCCCTTCCTGCAGACGGGGAGTCCTGGGCTTTCTTCTTGCCAGCCTTGCACACCGTTGAGTACATTTCCTCCACCTGCAAGAGAACAGCCGTGGTTAATGGCAGGTGCCAGACAACAGCAGCACGAGGCTCTTGCCTGCTTTCCCACCTCTGACTTGTGCTCTTGCTTTATCACCTCTCTGGGCTCCATGCAGAGCAGGTCAGTCTGTGTGCGCATGTGTGTGTGCGCACGTGTGTGTGCAAGAGACTGGGGACATGGTGTGGAAACACAAGCAGCTACAGTCACACCTGGCTGAGCTAGGCCCAGTCACAGCAGGCAACACCTGGTTGTAAAGAAGGACCTGCTCCCGCTCACCTGCGCTCTCTGTGCCTCTGCAGGAGGACGTGCTAAGCCCCTCCCTGAAGTGGGACTTTGGGAGAAGGAAACCAGCAGCCTGCCTGATTGATATGGATTCATATTCATGATTGACACAGTGATATCATTTTGATCAAGATTGGATAATATTCAGAGATCGGCCTAGGAAGGAACTTAAAGCTAGTTGGAAGCGCAACCATACCCCCATGAGAGACAGAGAAGGGCAGGCAGGCAAGGTGGGCTTAGAGCGTGCCATCCCGTCTGCCTGCTGTTCTGGCTGTTGGAGAAGCTGCCTTATTACAGAGCTGGAACCGAGGACAACCCACTTGTGAGCACAGCTGCAGAGGTTCATAAGCTGCATTAAGAGCGCCCTGATGTCCCAGTGTGGAACCGGGTCCTTTACGGCAGGATAAACATTAACCAATCCTTCCATACACGTCTTGTCTGCTGCATGCACAAAGACAGATTACTTATCTATGAGCACGTGATGCACTGCTGCGGCTGCTCACTGCACCCAAGGACCCGAACGCCTTCACCGGAGCAAGTGCTCAGGACTCCTCTGGATCCAGGCCAGCACTGGAATTGTGCATTTATGGCTCATTTTGCAATATACTTGCGGTGACTTTGTCCATGAAAATGCTGCTGGTGCTGACAAGGACACACCTGGGACAGGACAGACCACCACCATGGAGGATGTCTGAAGGCAAGCTAAGCAGGGTCTTTTAGAGACCCACTGGTTTCACTGCGGATCCCGGATCCTTTCGAACAGTTCATCAGTCTTGTCACGAAACAAAGCACCCCATTAGTAAGCGGGGGTCCTCTCCCTCAGATTGGGTTGGAGCAGAAGCCTCCAACCAGGGTTTCTGCAATATGTTTTAGCAGATACAACTACCCAGAAGGCCTGAACAAGGCTCTGAGCACATGCCTTGCCATTGTCTGGCTTTCAGACAGTGAAGCGACAGCCAATTTAGGTTGTTCCTTGAGGAGTGTTTTTGCAAACAAAGAGATCCTTCCCCCATTGCAACATTAGCACGTGGTAATTTGCCACTTTGATTTCAAATGAAAAAGAAGATGATACTTTCCAGGCAACTGCATCCATTTTTTTTCACTCTCCCTACTACAAAGGAAGCCAGACCTACTCTTGGCCTATGGACCGGTGCTGCCACTGCTAATGAACTGGGAAAAGGAGGTGTCTAAAAGCAAGAAAATCCTTTCCATGGGGCCTGGATGTGGTTGATCAGCCATTCTCCAAGGTGTCTGGACACGAAGCATGAAGACTGTGCTGGTTTCACTGATGTTCAAGCCCATTGAAAGCTGTGGGAAGAGATTTTGTTCTTGGAAGCAGCACCCAGAAGTCCAAAGACCAAGGGAAAGGTTTCCTGCAAAGCACCCGGTGAAGGTTTAGCCCTTCTGTTTGGAAGCACCTGGTCAGGAGAGAAGCTGCGGCTACCCCAACACCTTCATCAGGAGAGCACCAGCCTCCCGCTCCGGTTCTACCCTCTCGATCTTCCATCTGTACCACAGGCAACTCCTCCTCTTCCAGGTGCTCTAGGAGGTAGGGCTCCATGCACTGACCTGACTGCAGAGGTCTCAGACCTGCAATGCAAGTGTTTTCCTGACCCCCGATTAAGACCGAGGAAGGTCTGTGGTGCCCAGACAGGAGCCAGTAAGGCAGAACCTGCTGATCAGGCCAAAAATGAATTTCTGGCAGTAATTTCTCTGCTGCAGGGTGAGATTATACCCCTGCATCATGTCTAGTGGTGGAGTCTCTGGGATGGATGACCTGGTCCATGCTGGGATGGTTTGGGGAATCCATCTGCGCGCAGCTTCCGACTCCAGGTTAATGGTATGAAACCACCATATTTCTTAACACTGCCATGTAAATGCTCGCCACCTTTGCTGACAAGGGCTGGGTCTCTCCCTGGACAGATACAGTGGAGAGCAGGCCACTTTAAACAACTGTATTCTAACTAGTAGGCATGCTTAAGAGGCAGCCTGAGTAGGGAAACCCATCAGACAACCATTCTCTGCAGGGGCCCCACTGAGAGCCTGGGAAGTCCCCAGAGAGGACAGAGGGGTAGAAGTGATGGGATTCCTTCAGGCCTCTCACGCTCTAGTTGTTCAGGAAAGCTGAGGCAAGGCAGGCAGGGCCACAGCACGTGCCAGCAGGCACTGCTGGGAGGATGCTCCACCACCAGAGCTGCATCGACCAACCTAGGCAGAGGATGCTCGGGAAAATGTTCACCGTGGTGGAAGCCATTTCCACTCCCTCCACCAGCCCCAGATGAGTCAAATCCCCTAAGGACCAGACCCAAGCTCAGAGGAAAGTCTTGGGGTTGGGCTGTGGGTCCAACCCTGAGTGAGCAGTGCAATGCCCCAGGGATCTCTTGGCGAGATCTGTCAGAGGGATTGCAGTGAACCCTTGGACTCTGCTGCCGGCAGATCCTCTGCAAGCAGCTTGGTTCCTGAACTCCTCTGATAAGCTACTCTCCAGCTCAGCAGATGTCTGTGCAATGCAGCCCAGACAAGATAAATGGTTTCATGTCCTTCCCAAACACCGGTGAAAAAATCTAGCCCCCAAATCCTGCCTAATCCCACCCTAACAGCAATGCAAACCCCCTTCTTCCCACATTGCACGTGCGGAGAAGGCAGATCAGAGCACCAGAGCCAGGGATGCATTCACAGGAGCAGAGGGTTGAATGGGCCTGGAACAGCACCAACCTGACTGTGCTTGTTTGGTGGGCGAGATCTGGGATCTTCCTACAAGGAGACTCACCAGCCCTCGCCCAGGCTTTGAGTGAGAGCAGGGGCAGCGAGAGCCCTGTTCTCTGGAGCGCAGGCAAGGAGGGGAGGCTACATCTGATGGAGGAGCCTGAAATCAAGGCTCATGTTTCCTGACCTGCATGAACATCCACACATACCTTTCCTAAGCCAGCACATGCTGTTCTCAGCCCCTGGGCCTTGAAAGGTCTTAAGTGTTACTTACCTAGGATCCTTCTGCTTCAAGCCCAGGCAGAGCTCTTGAAAGCCACCATGAGCTTCTGGCTTCCTCCTCCTTCAGGGGAAGACCACGGTCTGCTCGCTGTTTCTTAGACTGACTGAGCTAGGGGCGAGAGGCCAACCTCAAAGCAGACTACGCCTCTCCGCCAGCCTCTTTGCCAGCTGACCCTGAGGTCTGGTTTTCTTTAGTCTGGGGGACAAGCTCAGGTGCTCCATGCCACTAGCTTTAGCCTGTCCTGTGCACAGTATTGTTGACTGCCCATGTCCCCGGGTACCGTCTCTGCACTCTGAATATACTTCACTTGCCGGGTCAAATGGAAGGGACATGGCAAAGCGTGGCCCAAACACCACCCCCTCCCAATCTAGCAGGTATCAGGGTGATGTGGCTAAGTGATACAAGGGCATGATGTCTCCTCCAGCCAGATGCGCACCTCTGTGGGGAGACCCATTTGCCCCTCTATCCCCACCCAATACCAGCAACAGTCATAGATCCAAGAGGACCCTGCTCTATCCTCTACCCCTACCTGCTGCAGGACACAGACACTTGCTGGCTCCCGCGGGCTCTCCAGGGCAGGGAGTGCTGTGTTTGCAGAGCATTTGACTTACTGGGCCTTGCTTGGCACTATCCCTCTGTAGCTGAGGACAGCCCCAGTCACAGCCCTTCATCCTGAGCCTTGGGGAAGATGAGGGGCTGGATCCCAGCCAGCCCAGCTCCAGGCATCCATTTGAGACAATAACTACAACCTGCACCCAGCAGTCACGGCTCCCACTGCCCTGGTCGTGGACAGCCTGGGAAAAGTGCTGGATGCTTCCGTACCTTTGCTGTCGGGGGGCTGCAGGCAGCTCCTCCCCAGCCTGGGAGCCCGTCCGAAGGCTTCTGGGAGGACTCGCCCGGCGTCACCTCGCATGGCTCTGGCTGGGGTTTCTTCACTTTGCGGACGCAGGCATAATCAGCTGTCACCACTCTGCCCTCACTGCCCAAAGAGGCGGCCTCGGTGGAGGATGCCAAGTTGGGCACCAGCTGCGGTGCTCCCTGCTTTGCCACCACAGGCTCATACAGCGTCTCCGGGGCTGGCCTCCGCGCAGCAGAGAAGACCAAGTTGGAGTAGGTCTGGTCAGGGCTCGGGGTCTCAGCAGAAGAGGGGGGCAGGGGGATTCGGGGCAGCTCTCTGCGCAGCAGGACGCTGATGCTGATGCTTGAGCTGTTCATGGAGCTCTCTCCCTCACCTGAAGCCCCAGACGTGCAGAGGAAATCCATGCTGACAGGCCTGTGGCCTGCGAGGAAAAGAGAAAGGGTGTGAGGGCATGGCTTGCCTTTCAAGGCACCCAGAATAACTCCCTGCTCAGCCCCTTTCAGCTGAAACCACGTGCTTCCCTGTTTACAGCCTGCAGCCAGTGCAATGGCTCATGCCACTGCGGGTCACCCCCATGGCCAGCCTGGGTTGGCTGGTGATTGCTGGCACGCCGCAGGCATGCTGCGGCACATGGGGATGCCCTTCTTGCTAGGTCATTGGGAGCACCACCGTGCCCTGGCAGGCAGAACTGCCCTCCCGGCACGGGCCCCAGCATGCTCCCGGTGCAGAACAACGGGATCTCTCTGTTCTCGGTGGCTCGGATCTCCCAGTGACTCACTGTCTTTCTGCAGCTTCACCCTGTTGAGCTCGTGCAGTTTGGTGTCCGATTTACTGAGTGACCGGAGCTGTGTCTGCCTCAGCAGAGACTGTAAAGGAAGAAGGACATGTCCGGTTGTAACCGCCACCATGGCATCAGGGACGCCCTGACCGCTGCCCTGCACAACCCCCCAGCCCTCCCCAAGCTGCTCCGTGTGGCTAGACAAACAGCAACAAGGGGGGCAACACCCACCAGGGGCTCAGTAACCGGGATCCAGGATCCTAAGTCCAGAAGGATGCCTTGGTGGAGCTCTCTGGCGCCTGGGCCAGGACCCTGCAGCCCCTCTGCTCATGCAGTTCAATTCCTCTTAGCTTTCCATTTCCCCCTGGACACTGGAACATGCCACAGCCGACATAACCCGGCTCTCAGCCGTGCAGTACGGCCCTGAGGCCCCTCACGTTCACCGCTCTGAAGGAGGTCCTCTCTTTGGCTTCTTCCAGCATGCTCTTTCCAACAAGCTGCTCTTTCCGGGCATGAAAGTTGCTCCCCCTCTGTCTTTAAGGGCTCCTTATTGGAGCCTTCCAGGTGGCCTACACCCCTGCATCTCCCCCAGCCCAGGCTGAGCCAGCCCCTTACAGGGCAAGGCTCCAAGACCTCTCGTTCAGGTGCTTCCTATGACAGATGCTGGCTGAGAAACAGCCCATCCCTAATGCCCTCCTGGACCCCCTTCATGCCACCCATCTGCACTGGCCCTCGCTGCTTGCCACGTGACTTGTAGCTTATCAAGGCATCGCATACACTCACCTCATTTATCAGCTTTACCCCATCTGGCAGGACCTTCTTCTTCTTGCCTTTCCTGCAATGAGAAGTGGGGTCAAGGTGGAGAGGGGCAGGGGGGCACACAATACGCAGCTGGTGTGAGCAACACTGGCACGTGACTTGGCTCTGCTCATAGCTAGGGCAGTGCATTGGGCTCTGTTCCTGCCTGGGGAACAGATCTGATGTGATGGGCCTTGGGGAGGAACGGCGGAGGGCATGATTTGCGTCCCTGGAGCATGCCATGGCCTGGATGCCCTAGAGCAGTGGTTCTCATCTCAACCATTTTCGGCTCAAGGCACCCCTCGATAAACTCGAGGCACTCTGGGAGAGACTCAAGGGCCCCCTCAGAAAATGTCAGCACCGAGTTTTCACTCCATTTTTGACTGCAGAACAATAGTGGAGCAATTAGTCTGTTGCAAAGAAGTCAGGAAGACCGCTGCAGGTCAGCCGAGGTTTAACGCTGCAGATTCCAGTGGGAAACCTCTGGGTTTATCTTGTGAACCATGTTTGCATGGCCAACAGCGCTGCAGCACCCTGGCTGAGAATCACGTCCCTAGAGCTCCTTGGGAACCAGGCATGGGGGCTCCCTCATGTGGCCTGTCGTGCTGGGCTGCAGGCAGAGGCTCTGAGCTGCACGGGCACTCACGCAGCCCCAGCCAAGTGCCCAGAGCCTGGTCCCAGCACGTACCGGGCACTGCAGAAGACTCTGGAGGGCATCTCCTTGGTGCAACCAGCCCAACTCAGTACGACAGCTAGCAGGGCAGAATTAAACACGGCAGACCTGTCTGAGGGTGGAGAGGGGTGGGAATCCCACGGTTTGTTTTCCCGTGGGTCAGGGTCTATGCTACGAGTCAGCCCATACCTTCGGCAGGCAGCACACAGGGCAGAGAGGAGGACCAGGACTCCCAGGAGAGCCACGGCCAGCAGGGCACTGATGGGAGAGAGATGGGGCCTGGCTACCCCCTCACCAGGGAGCGGAGCCATAGCAGGAGCCACTTCGAATCCTGCTTCAGGCCAAGCTCTGCAAAGAGAAAAGAGATGATCAGGGAGAAGGCAGATGGCAGGTCCCTTCACAGCCCCGGGAAGGGCTTGGGGGACACCTGGGATTGCATGGGGTATGTGCTAGCCTAGCCCCATGTGGAAGGCACTGGTGCAAGGAGGCTGCACGGTCTCGCACACTGAGTGTGATGCTGGGGTCTGAGAACTCGCAGGTGCTACAGAATCACAGAAGCACAGGGCTGGAAGATGCATCAAAATCATCCAGCCCAGCCCCTGGCTCTGAGGCAGGATGAAGACTACATGGGCCAGCCTGGACAGTTTTCTGCCTTTTCTTAAGCACTGCAAATAAGCGCGTTCCTCATCCTCCCTACATCGCTCGTCCCAGCACTTCTCTCTTTAGAGTTAGAAAAGCTCTCCTAATATCTACCCCAAATCACCTGGGCTGTAGAGGAAGCCAATTCCTTGTTGTCCCCTGGTGGGTACAGAGAACAGCGGAGCCCCGGGCTCTCTACAACTGCCCTTCCCATAACGGGAATAGTAAGGCTTGTTGTGCCTCCCATCATTCTCGTCTTCTCTAAGGAAAATAAACCCAATTCATTCAGTCTTTCCTCACAGGTGCCATTTTCCAAGCCTCTGCCCATGCTCATCACTCCTAGACTCTTTCCTATGTGGTTACCTCCTCAGAGCACGCTGCCCAAAACTGGGCACCGCGCTGCATCCAGAGACCCTCCCAGTGCTGAGCAGAGAGGAATCATTACCTCCTTTGTCTTAGTCCTGTTAATAGGACCTGGAATAAGAAATACCTTTAATTTCCCAGCAGCATCCTGCTGTTGACTCACGTGTAGTTTGAGATCTGCTGTAACTCTCTGCCTCAACTCCTAGCGTGGCCGTGAGCAGACCACATGCTCTCTGCAGTCCCCGAGGTACAGAAGCATCGTAACAAGCACTTGGCTGGAACATAGCCATGCTCACGACCCACCTTTCTGCAGGTATTAATGGGACCACCTGGTTGCAATGCTTGAAACAAGAGTTTAAGCTGAATATGCACCTGAGACCGCTTCTTTCCAGTGTGAATGGGATGTCAGCGCCTTGCAGCTATGCTGGTCTCCTGCTCCTACCCCAGCACCTCTCCCTGCAGCTACCAGGGTCAGGGAGGTTGATTCGGTGGCAGGTGGAGTCTGCTGAAGACAGCAGCATGCAAGGTCTCCAGCCACAAGATGCACAAGAGATTTGCCTCTCATCTAGCGTGCCAGCAGAAGCGTTGCTGAAGAAGCCACCAGAAATTTGCAGGGGTTGCTGGCAGAGGGTGTCAATCAAGAGCCAAATCAGCAGTGCTCCTGGGTGGACGGTTGGGAGCCAAGCGCTGCTTTTAAATGGGGCTGTCATTGTACCTGGACCTGGATCTCCTTTCTCCTAGGCCAGGGCTGAACTCAGCTCCCCCTCACTGAACTCTCCCGCATGCCTGCGAAACACCCCTTGCAGCACCGAGACGCAAGCCTGTATGAGCCCTAGGGCCAGGCCCCTTGAGGACAGATCGTCTCCCCCTCCTGAAAAGCAGAGCCCTCTCTGAGATGCATCCCTTGCTTCCAAGGGGCTGCTGCAACCTTCCCCGGAGCCAAAGCAGAAACCTCACGTGCCTGGCAGAGCCCCACTGGGTTCTGGCGCTGCTTGCCCACGTTTCTACAGCAAGCCTGGCTCTTGGAAGCCCCAGCTCCTGGAGCCATGTTATTCATGGCAAATCATGCCTCATTTATTATTTAATTAATAGTGCAAATGCATTCATAAACAAAGCTCACGCAGGCATCAAGGAAATCCTGGCAATGCAGCCCTGTGTCCCTCTGGGCTCAAACACCACAGGAGCAAAGAGAAAGAACTGCAGATATTATGGTTTAATCTCTTGCGATCCTGGGGCCTGGCTCTAGGGTCTGAGTGCTCTCAGATGGAGTTCGAGCAAGGTGTCCGTGGCTAGATGGGTGCAGGAGTCTGAAACCCATCTGCTCCTGGGGTGACATCATCTGCTGGAAGGAATGAAGGGAGAAAAGCAGAAAAAGATAGGGAGGGGGGAAGGCAGAAGGGGAAAACAAGAGAGTAGAATAGCATGTTGGTACTCACTGGCTGAGACCCAGCAGACTCATAGATGGAGATGGGAGGCATGGTTTCAGTTTGGTATATCGGCAATTTATTAATGGTGACTAGAGCCAAATGAATAAGGCAGCTTTTAGAGAGCTGGGCTGCGAGCGTGGCATCCCCTCTTCATTTTAGCGAGGTGGGAGGATTCAAAGCTGAAACCCAGCTGTGATCATGCAAGCTGGTCTTGAGAGTTTGGTTCTCAAACTAGCCAAAATCTCACGGGAATCATCTGTGACACGACACTGCAGTTGATAACCAGTCAGTCGTGGATATGATCGGGAGAATGACAGAAACAGAGGGCGGGCAGGGCCTCCAGAAGTCATCTAGTCCAACACCTGCTCCAGGTAGGAGCAGCTCTGTTCAAAACCATCTCATCCAAGTGTTCATCTAACCTGATCTCTCTGTTTTACGGCAAGTCTGGCTGTGGCTGGTGCCTTTGGAAGCCCCAGCTCCTGGAGTCATGCTATTAGAACCAGAAAAGCAATAGATGAAGGGCAGAGGATGGGATGAAACACAACATTAATAATAACCCCTAGCCTGGTTCTCAGATCAAAGCAAAATTAGGAACCACGATACCGCCAAAGAACTCCCGAGGGAAAGTCCAAACCATTGCACGAGGGTGTCCTGGCACTTGCATTTCCAGCTCCAGGACATTGGCTTTGGCCTGCTGTCCATGCCACCTGGCTAGGGCACATCTTCCACCCTGCAATGAGCCTGCTGCAGGCCTCTGCAAGGGCATGAAAGGAACTGAGTACCATGCGCAGTCTCCCTATGTACTGCCACGGGTGCCTGGCTCCAACACCAGCATCTCCCACAGACCCTTGGAACAAGGAAGAGACTCTTTAGCATCATAACCGGACACCCCAATAAGCTCCTACGGGCACACCAGGTGGATGGCCTCTTAGCAGCCAAATCCTGCTGGGACCAGAGGGGCTTTAGCTCATCGCTAAGCCCCTTCTGTGTTGAACACGTCCACATCTCCCAGTTCCTCCTCCTAAACCTTCCCCCTCCAGCCCCACAGCCCAACACACCTGCTCTCACGTCTCTGGGTGCGTGGGGGCTAGTGGAAGCACCAGGCTCGGACAGGTGGGTTTGAGACCACCCTGCAGCTCATTTTCAACTCCTCCAGCAGCGATAGCAGCAGGCTCAGATTGTGGGGCAGGCAGGAACAGGAGGCAAACAGGCAATGACTCAGCTCACAGGAAACCATGAGGGGTTTGCATTTGCTCCTCCTGCAGCCCCAGCTCTCTGCCAGGGCTGCTCCAGGGGGGTATGGCAGGGGAGCGGTTCTGGGGATCTCAGAGCGTAAGGGACCGCACCGGGGCACAGAACCAGGGCCGGGAACTCCTGAGCTTTGCTGGGCAGTGCTTGCCAGCACCCCAAGACCCACAGTGGATGGCAGAAGGGAACAAAGCCTAGAACAAATTTGATTCAGGGCTGGGGGGAGAGGGTGCAGCGCTGCTGGCATCAGCAGAGCCTGGGCCAGGGGCACAGGACAGCAGGTGGTTATCTCACGGGACATGGAGCCAGCTCCAAGTCAGCATTTAGGTCGCTAGGTGCATTGAAATGGACGGGAACACCTACTTGGATCTGGCCTTGGTGTTCCAGGTACTTGCTATTTATTGTGTGCCCAGTTCCAAGCAGCTGAGCAGCTGTAAGGCCCTGTCCAGGCTTTGCTGGGGAAGCTTGGCCCATAAAGGCACAGTCCTCATCTGCCCGGAGGATGCTGGGCTGTTCTCCCAAGGCCTAGGAAGAAGGCACGCTGGTCCATCTGGGAAAGGAGCTATCGTAGAACCAGCGATTGCCTGCCTGCTGTCCAGCCGCAGGACTCTGACCAGTGTTCAAGCCCCATTGCTGCCCCAGCAAATGCCCGTCATGCAGTTGTGGGAGAGGCTAGGGGGCTAGTGTGGAGGGCACAAGTGTCACCTCTCCTGCCTTTCTACCTTGGCTTCTGTTCCCTCTATCAGCACCATTGGTTTCCTGTGCTGCCCTGTATCAGATGCACTCTGTGCATGAACAAGCAAGCCACAGCCCCCCTCCATCCTGCCTGTCACCCCCCAGGCATGCTTGCTGTGGTATCCTCCACTGCTGGCAGCCTGCAAGAGAAGCTTGCAGAGCTGTGCACGAAGCAGCGAACCTTGCCGCAGCTGGAAAGCCACCCCATGACGCAAGAGAGGACGTTGCTGCTGTCCCCAGTCCATGCAGGGCCCTAGCTTCTAAAAGGCATAAGCTGCATCCTGACAGCAGGGCTCTAGCTTGGTGCCCATGAGCACCACGAATAGGGGAAATGGCCCTGGTGAAGCCATCGTACCAGCATGCAGCATGGATTAGTAAGTCTGGATCAAGCCATTCTCAGGCCAAAGAACAGAGGAACCAGGCAGAGGAAGGTGGGTGGAGCGCTGCTAGTCAGCCAGGGCTGGCATTGGCACCATTTCCACCACAGCCAACCCTGCCCCGTTAGGGCCCAGGTGCAGCTGCCTGAGATAGCGCAGAGAAGATGGAACCAGCTTGGGGGCAGGATTCTCCCCATCTACACAC